ATCCCCTCGCCCTGCGTTCTGCCATCTCAGCCCTGGACAAGTGCTTAATAGGGGGTGCCACCACGCTGCTTCCCAAACTGGATGCCGATCTGGAATCGTGGCTCAGCTGTGGTTTCTGTTCCCGGCTGGCTGCAAAAGATGGGGCCATGCCGAGTGGTTTTGGAGGTGCCCATGCTGTTTGAGGCCTCCCCATACTGATACTTTCGCGGTTGAGTTGCAGCTTGTGTTCAAAAGCGCGAGCCAAATTCATAGCAGTAACCGGATTGGGGGGATTTTGCATCTCCACATCCACCCTCAAAGTTTCCACTAACCCTGCGGTGAACATGTCGACCTGCTGGTCTGGTCGTACCGATGATGCTCTTGCAAGGAGGGTCTGAAACTGATGCTGATATTCAGCCACCGTTCCCGTCTGTTTGAGGTTGATTAGTTCGCCTAATGGGTTGCTTGTTAATGGGGGCCCAAATTTGAGAAGGCAGTAGGATTTGAATTGGGTCCAACTGAGCCCGGGTTCCTCTTGCTCTAATCTATAAAACCAAAGCTGCGCCTCCTCCGTCATGTGGAATGCGGCTAAGCTTACCTTGTCTCTGTCCTCTGCCCGTTGGTTGCGGAAGAACTGCTCACATCTGTACAGCCATCCCAACGGATCTCCCGCGCCATTATAGGAAGGGAACTCCAGCCTGCTGTATTTGGGAACGATCGTGGCTCCCTGGGTGACGACCTGCCGCTCGCCGGACGATTCTGCCGTGTCTGGACGGCGGTCGTTTGTGGTTGCAGCCCCTTCTGGATTCCTCTCCTTGCTAGAAAAATAGAGTTCCATTATGCGCCTTAATTCTCGGACGCCTTCCTTGATCTCGCGCACCTCCGTGCTGTTTTCCACGAGCTTGAGCTCTAGTTCATGAACCCTAGTTGTCAACTGCTCAAGGTCACCCATGACGCCTTGCTCTGATACCAAATTGTTATAGGCCCACGAATAGGATCTCGTCACGGGTCGGTCCACGGGGAAAACCTCCTGTTTTCCCTTGTTCCTCCCTTTTCTTGAGGAACCTATCTTGGCGCCTTAATGGTGATTTGTTCAAGAGATCACCA